GAATACCTTTCTAATCTGTGGGAAGCAAAACTTTTCTTGGAGCATACAAAAAAGTACAATAAAAGAAAAATAGGGATCCCAGCAGTTGAGCATCTGTCTTCAGCTCAGGGTGTGATCCTGGAGTCCCACGATCAAGTCCCACATTGGGCTCCCTGTGGAGCCATGTCTGCCTATGTCTCTGCCTCTCTCTCTATGTTTCATGAATAAATAAATAAAATATTAAAAAAAAATCCCCACCACCAACAAGAGAGCATTTAAAGATTAAAAGAAAAATAACTGATAAATTTGATTTAATCAAAATGAAAGCTTTTGCTTATCCAAAGTCATCATTAAAGGGTGCTGGGTGGCTCAGTGAAGTGTCTGCCTTTGGCCCAGGTCACGATCCTGGGTTCTGGGATCCAGCTCCCTGTTTAGTAGAGAGTTTGCTTCTCCCTCTGTTCTTCTCCCACCCCCTACTCATGCTCTCTCTTTTGAGCTTTTTTTGTCTCTCATAAATAAAATCTTTGAAACAAAAACCCAACAAAGTCATTATTAAGATAAGGAGGCAAGTCACAAATATGAAATTACTAACAATACATAAATCTAACAATGGACTTATTTCCAGAGTAGGTAAAAAATTCTAACATATTAGCAAAAAAAAAATTAATGCATAAAAACATGAATAAACACTGTACAAAAGAAGTCAAGAAGATAACCAATAAGGACAAGAAGAGGTTCTCAAAATCATTATTCACCAAGTAAATGAAACTTAAAAATCACAATGAGATAGCACCTTCATCCAGCAAATGGTTAAGAGAAAGATGATATCAATGTTGATGAGAATGTAGAGCTCCTAGAAATTGAGAGGATTGCTGGTGGTAGAGTAAAATGATAAAACCAACTTTGAAAATAGCATTTTCTAATGACTTTAAGCTTATGATCACTGTATGACCCAGAAATTCCAATTGAAGTTTTTTCTTAAAAAAACAAAAAACAAAAAACAGACACAAAAACACATCATATGTCCACAAAAAGACTAGAACAATCAATGTTCAACTGCAGCTTTATTGATTAAAAAAAAATTTCTTCAATCTTGAAACAATTCAATGTCCACTCAGAGGTGAAGGAATAAACACATTGTCGTCTATTTCCACAAGGGACCACTGCACAGAAATAAAATAAATAAAACATAAACACCATAGAGAATTTCAAGAATATTATGTTGAATGAGAAAAGCTGGGTACACCTAAGGACAACCAGTTTTGTCTAATTTTTATGAAATTCTGGAGGCAAAATCATTTTATAACAACAGAAATCATTACAGTAGTTGGCTCTAGTTGGCATGGATTGATTTAAAGGAAGCATGAAGATATTTTCTGGGACGAGAAACTGTTCTGTATCTTGATCAGGTAGTTATAACAAAAGTGTATGTATTTGTCAAAAGTATCAAACTCTACCCTTAAAATATGTTCATTTCATTTTGTGCAAATATTAATTGAATAACAAAGATTATTTTAAAAACTAACAAATCAGACAATCTCAGACTTCTGCCTCAAACCATTCAATGACCCTCATTGCTTTCAGAAGAAAGTGCAATTCTGAGTCAGACCACAGAAGACCTACAAAGAATGGCCCCCAAAACTTTCTGACCTAATTTCAAGTCCTTCTTTCATTTTCTCTCACTGACAAGACAAAATGGCTTTCAGTTTGATAAGACACATCTCAAGATGTGAGTCCTAAAAATACTTCTCCAAGTCCTACCTATCCAAACTCTACTAACTCTTCCAATCTTGTTTCAAATGTTATTCCTCTGAAACTTTTCTCGACTTCTAAGGCTTGGTAAGTTTCTCTTGACATTATTTTAGTATCAAAAACTCATTCATAATTCATTATTATTATAATTAAATAATTATTTATTTAGTGTTTGCTTTCTGTCTTTGACTTTCAGTCTGGATAGAACAGAGATTCCACACATTTCCTTAATATATTTTAAATTATGGAGTAATACACAAATATAATCTCATTTTAAAAAAATACATTCACTAACACATTTCCATTCCATGGACTCTGACTCATGGTAAAGGCTCAGTGAAAACGTCGTGAAAACTAATGGTCCTAAGGAAAAGTTTGACAATGTGTTCTGAGGCGCAACTAATTAGAAAAAAACAAACATGAAGGCAGGGAGTTGGGGAGGATAAAGCTGCTCTCTGTAATCACTAATGAGATAAACATTAATAAATAGAAATTGTTGAGATCAAGTGCCTAGGAGTGATTCATGAGAGCATTTCCTGGGAAACTGGTTACACTTATTCTTGGAAGTCAGATTTGGAAATGAGTTGGCAGACAGATGATCAGCAGCTTCTGGAATTATAGTTGTGGGGCATCAGAAGCTTGGGACCTAATCCCAAGGTTCAAAATCTAAGATGGTAAGCATTTGTCAAACAATGCGGCAGGAGGAAGCCAGACAAGTGCCAGCTGGTCTCCTGCTCATTGTGAGGAGTGGGATTAATTTGGTTAAAACTGAAAGATCACAATTCACTATGCTGAAATATAGAAAGAAGAAAGCCTATACTCTAGGAAATTTAGACCTGGAATGGAGGAAGGGGCAATTTCTTAAATGAACATGGCAAGACATCAGCTCAGGAGTCACTAAACTAAAATATTACTTTTCTTATCTTGGCTATCAATGTGAAATGGGATTTTAAAATTTCAGGTATAACTGTGGTATTGCCAGTTTGCTGTCCTCACCATTGAATTTTGCTCTTTGTCTGTGAGCGCTTCATAACACAGCTATTTACAATCAGTCTCTGAGGTTTTCTGGTTGTTGTTGTTTTAAGTAAACTTGCTTATTTACTAGTGTTGGGAGGCAGAATAATGATCCATCAAACATATCCATATCCTAAATCTCAGAATCTGTGAATATGTTACTTTATGTAGAAAGGTTTATCAAGGAAGTAGATGGAATTAAAGTTGCCAATCAGTTGACCTTAAAACAGGGAGATTAGCAAATGGGCACAACATAATCTTAGGCATCCTTAATAATGGAAGAGAGAAGCAAAAGAGTAGATCAGACTTGACCCACCATTGCTGGCTTGACCCACCATTGCTGGCTCTGGAAATGGAAGAAGGGGAGCATGAGCTAAGAAATGCAGCTGGCCTCCAGAAACTAAAAAAGACAAGAAAGTAGATTTTCCCCTAGAGCCTCTAGAAAGGAATGCAGCCATGTTAGCATGTTGATTTTAGCCCATTGAGACTGTACCTGACTTTTTACCTACAGAACTGTGGGACAATAAATTTGTGTTAAGCCACAAATTTTGATGGAATTTATTTTAGCAATAATAGAAAAACTAAGATGCTAATATATTTCTGAAAGCCAGAAAACTTTCCATTCCAACATCTAAAATCTGGAGACATTAACAGATGAGGCCTCAGCTTGGCCAAAAAGCTCCAGCTGCTTCTCATGACTGCTCTGCCATTGCTTATGTTTTGGGGTACAAAATTGGATTATTTCTCTTGGTTGAAGATAATGGGCAGGAGACCAACTTGGATCATTAAAATTCATGAGCAGGACTGTTTACAGAGGAGTTTACTATTTTAAATTTTATAATGCAATGGCTGATGAAATTTTTCCCCAAGTCTCTTTTTTTTTTTCATGATTCCTTTATGTTTTCCTCTGGCTATGTCAGTGTCAAGACTATTTTCTAAATATAGTGGAGGAAGAGGAGGAGGAGGAGGGAGAGGAAGATGAGGAAGAGAGGAAGCATATGAGAAAAGAGAGAGGATTAGAGAGAATGCATGGAATAAACAATTCTACTAAAAAAAATAAAAAAATAAAAAAATAAACAATTCTACTAATAACTATAATAACTTACTGTGTAAACTTGTAAAATTCTATCTAGCTCTTTTTTTCTTGCAGTTTCCACCTCTGTAGAGTAAGTAGATTGAATTTGATGAACCCTACTGCTCCTCTTATATTTCATATTTTATTACACTGGTAGTAAAGGAGGAATTAAAGAGAGCATGGTGAGATATACCAAGATAAACTTAGAAGACTGGGCTTTTCTCCAAGCTTTGAGGACTCTGCATTCTATTCCTAATTTCAGGGATGTTTGAGGATCTTATAAAATAAAGAATAGGAAAAAAATATTTAAACATTGCTTGTTCTATATGAATATCATGTCTCCGGTTGTTATCGTGCTGTCTACGTTAGTTTGTCATGCTATCTGCATCATCTACTATGTGGTTAGTATCTGTGTTACATGTTAGTACCTTCCATTTATAACACTCAGATGTAGGAAAGAAGAATGGTGCAAATAAAGGATACCCAATTTTTATTTCAACATGTAGCAGAAACAGTCATTTTCAATGATATTAAAGATTTATCATTTAGCTTATGTTCTCATCTAGTTAGATTCAGTGTATATATTGGCAAAGAACCCAGGTGCAACTTCACACCTGCTGAGTCTAGTTCCTTCCCAGCTAAGTTTGTTCCAGCTAAGTTGTTCTTATACAAATGGGGATAATTTGAGCAGATTGAAGATAGTAATTGGAGTACAGGGATTTAGTCAATTAAAAAAAATATGTAGCATCCCTTCACTGTGATTAGCTAAAGCTCATAGGTGCTCTTTTTTCTAAAACTTTACACCCACACACTAGTCTTCCATTTGAATAACCTGCATGCAAAGGCCTCATCATGTAAATCTAAATTTTGTTCCTATACTCCTCAAATTTCTCTGATACACAATGTCTTAAAAACAATGTCTTTATTATATCTTTGTATGCATAGTCTATATTCATTGTATGAACAAGATATTCAAATCTCTTGAGATTTCATTGAGAAAAAGGCTATACCTAGAAGCTGCAGGTACCCCAGGAACTGCTTAAACGGGGAAATATCCAAACTCTACCAAAATTAGTGCACAGCCGTTAAAATCTGAGCTTTCCAAAGCCCATGAACAAAAGCAATGATAACACAAATCCTAGTTGACGCATTACTAATAAATAATAACATTAACAGCATATTTGGATGGCAGTGTAAAGATTTTATTAAAATAAAATCGTTTGACTTTCCGTCTATATTTGGGAAAAATGTGAAATCATAAATTCTATCAACAATACCATTTAATTATTATTAATCTTGCAGTTTGACAGAGTTCTTCTATCAATCAAGGTTTCAGGGTTGATGAGGTAAAGTTGCTGGTGATCAGGAATTATTAGATAATTTTTGATGTAGGAAATTAAGATAATAGATAATCTCAGGACAGAACCTGTATTTCTCAAATGGATTTTGCTCTTCAACACACTAACTGGTAGAAGCCAGATCTACAGCGTGGCCAGTAAGAAGATGAGCAGAAATTCCTGGAAGGAAAATACATTGGGTGATAGACACTGGATCCATAGCTCAGAGAAGGGAAGCCATAGACTCTAAAACCCAGGGGTCTGAAACCCTGGGATCCATAGCCCAGTGAGTAGCAGCTTCTGGACCCAAGGCCAACAGACCCAGAATAAGTAGTCCACCAGGGACTGCAGAGCCTGGAGGTGCTCGGGCGGTAGCAGGATGTCTGGCAGGGGCTGGACGCCACACACGATGTCTGGAAGCTAGCAGGTTCACAGCAGGTCTCCTGAGAGCCATTGTAGAGGGAGGATCCCACCTGGCAGGTGCTAGGAGAGCAGACGTCAGTGCGGTAGACCAGGTTGCTGGGGTGGGATGAGCCACACGAGGAGCTGGGGTAGTGCAGGTATCCCCCAAAGGAACGGGAGGAGAAGTTTCCAGAGCAGCAGCTGTAGGACATGTTGGCAGGAGATGTGAGTTCAGCTGAGTGACAAAAGATTCTGTGTTTGAATTTCATCTCTGGACTGGTGGTGCATTTATATATTCTCAGCAAGAGGTGTGGTAACCTACATGGTCATCTTTTTCATAGTTGTGTACCCTCATTTACATATGTGTAACTCCGTAATCTCTGTAATTGCAGGTGAATAGTTTCCCATATCTTGTATTTACAGGTGCTATAATTTTGGTGTTACAGCCAAAGCCAATGAACTACTCCTATGTCAGAAATGCCATGACTGTTTGACATTAATGATCATCCCATTGAGGCAGGAAAGCCCTTCCTTTCCTCTTGCCATAACCTTCATGTGTTTTGTTTCTGGCAGTAATGGGCACATACTTTTCTCAAATGGTAGGAAATGAGATATAGCTATTTTTCTGCTTTGTCAATTGACCAGAGGCATAATTTTGGCTTTAATAGGAACAGACTAAATACTGACCTTACTTGTCACCATGTTTTCTCATTTTCCAAAATTATTGTCCCTCCATATCCACATTCTATTACACAGTATGTCTCAGAGGCAATGGAAAGGAGGGAAAATGTCAGCCAAAATACAAATTAGATATCATTGATGTTTTAAAGACATAGAGAAGCCTGGACATTTATTTGGAGACATGGTTACAATGAAGGACAGAGCTAAGATAGAGTCACAAGTGGAGATCAATTGGAGCCCTCCAGAGGAGAACCAAAGAGCTAAACAATATTGAAATGAGGGGAGAAAATAATTGGGTTTTAGGTTTAGTGTGTCTGATATGAGGCCTATAATCCTAACAGCTTCCCATCCACATGCATATCAACCCTGTGACTTTACTTCTCAGATTTTCAACTGCAGAAGGCTTAGTTGACCAAGGGGCACATGTGCAGCAGAGATATTAGATAGGCTCTGTCCTGGAACACATGGGATTTCTCTGATGGCTGTTGGCTGGGGATTCCCCAATGGCCTTGGGGAGTTTTACCTAGTTTGTGTGGCTGCCTTAGGCACTGTGGTCAGCCTTGTACCCAATCTGACAGCTCTCGTAGCCTTCTTCACCCCCTATTCCAACTCCTCTCACAGACATTTCCCAAATGAAATTCTTATGCCTTTAATTCCATCTTGATGTCAAGCCAACTCTACTCATATCTTCCATCAATTTTGGTAAATTCTCAGCTACAGTCTCTTCAAATATTATTTGTCTCATTTTCATCTCAATTTTTCTAGATTCTAATTATAAGCAAAATATACTACTAAACTATGTTACATATGCTTCTTATCCTCTTTGTTTTCTTTCTTTTTATGCTTTACTTTGAGAATTTCTTTTTATCCCATCTCCCAATTCATTAATTGTTCAGCTTTGTTTCATCTCCTGATAAAACATATCAATTAAGTTTTACAGATCAGTTATTATATTGTAAATTTCCAAAATTTCTGTTGCATGACTTTTGGTTTTCTGACAAAATTCCCAATCATATCTTTATTTCCTTAAATATCATTATTCCTTGATAATCTCTATTTCCTATTGTTAAATTCTTTACATAGGTATTTTAATGTCTGATTTTGGAACATGGATTCTATTCTGATGTACTCTTTTGTTTCAGTCTTTTCTTCTCATATTCCTATTATATATATATATATATATATATAATAGGAATATATAAAAATACATACACACACATCTCAGAATGATTTACCTTCCTCCAGAAAGAATTTACTTATGTTTCAGGCAGGCTGCTAGGATAAGGTCACCAGCATCCTAGATCATTTTAATCCAATCAGGGATTGAGATAATTCAAATCTGGGCTTCAGTCCTTATGAAGAGCTGTTTAACAGCACTTCAGTTTTACCTCTAGGAATTGGCTCTCTAAGGTCTGGGATATTTGCCATGATCTCAACTCTGCTAGATGCTGAGTTCCAATTTTAATTCTTTTTTTTTTAAAGATTTTATTTATTTATTCACAAGAGACAGAGAGAGAGAGAGAGAGACAGAGAGAGAGAGGCAGAGACACAGGCAGAGGGAGAAGCAGGCTCCATGCAGGGAGCCTGATGTGGGACTCCATCCCGGGATTCCAGGATCATGCCCTGGGCCAAAGGTAGACACCCAACTGCTGAGCCACCCAGGTGTCCCTCCAATTTTAATTCTTAAGTCCAGTGAATTTCTGGAATTCTCTTAGCCTCTTGGTCACTATTTTAAAAATCAACATATAATTTTAAGGGAATAGCAACTCCAGATGTTGGTTCATTTCTTTTGACTTTAGTTGTGGCCCCTGTAGTACCTCTGAGATTCTGGAATACTTAGTATTTCTCTGAAGTTTTCAGAGATGATGATGATGGTGATGATGATGATGATGATGATGATTTTATGTATTTTCACTATATTTTCTATTCTCATTGAGAAGAAGGGTTCAATGTTTTAAGCCATGTTAGTTTGCTAATTTTACATAATTTTGAAAGATTTACTTATTTTTAAAATACACAGGAATGTTTCAAATAAGTGAGGACCTACAGAGAAGGTGGCCATTGAAAAGTCTTGTTACAGTAGTTTCACTGGTAGATGACAGCTACCAAATTTCAGGAAATTCAAATGCTCTAATTGTGGATATCCAGCCTTTCTTTCCAACCCTGTCTTCCATTTCCATACCACATATGCTTTACATTGTGTCACAATACAACCTAAATTCACCACATGCCTTTATACCTTTATGCTTTTCTCATCCCATTTTATCCTTCCAGATCTTATCTTTAATCCTTCCCATATTTATTGTATCTCTGCTTTTCTAGTGACATCCCATTCCCAACAGAAGCTGTCACAGCCTGTCTATCTGCCTTGAGTAGTCATCTGTAAACTCTGAAGCTTACTGATTACCAGGGATATCTATAAAACTCTACCCAAGGACTTTTCCACTCCACAGGGGCTTTATGAGCCTGATGTGGGGAATTCTCCACTAAGATTGAGCCTCAGATGTCTGCAAATGTGCCTGGCTCACTAACACACCCCACATTGCCTTCCTTCCATTGTCTGCCAATTTCCCACTCCCCTGCAAGTAATTGCCAGTATCCCCTCCCAAATAAACAATCTGCATTTGAATCTATGTTCTTGACCACTATTTTTGTATAATTTATAGACAAAATACATACTTGGATACCTTACTAATATGTTTATTGAGAAATCATCAATTTTTCTCTACCTTATAAGACTTAAATGAAATGATCCCTAGGGAGAAATACCAAGAATATATTACAGAGAGAAATGTGCTTTAATATTGCTTATAGCACATTTAAGAAACGCAGCCATGATATCTTTGTCCAATGAATATATTTTCAAGAATACAGAATTTAAGAGTCTTCTAATCTATGTTGGAATAATAAAACATTTTGTGGCTATAGATCATAATACATAGTGAGTCAAGAGAATATTTAAATAAGAAGTATTGGCTTTTGCTTACTGAACATCTAACCCATTTAAGTAGTAAAAGAAAGATCTCCAGCCTGTTAGGGACTGTTAATTTGAAAAAGAGTAACAGGTGGGTTTCAGGTATGGATGAGATTCTTTTGGAAACATGCCTCAAATATCAAAGCCATTTTGTTCATAGCCTAGTGATGGGACTCTGAAATCAAAAGACCAGAAGCTACTGGATGCACAGCCCAGAGTGATAAATTTTATGTGAAATGTAATTTTTTAAATTGTTGATAAACAACTGGTGGAGGTCTGTGTTATATAGAACAAACAATATAATCATTGGGGCTAAGGTTAGGGAGTTAGTCCATAGTTGGGGAGTTGATAAATCCTTTTGAAATTTATACTAACTTAATGTCGATGAAGGTTTAGAAATTTAGAGACGGGATCCCTGGGTGGTGCAGCGGTTTGGCGCCTGCCTTTGGCCCAGGGAGTGATCCTGGAGACCCGGGATCGAATCCCACATCGGGCTTCCAGTGCATGGAGCCTGCTTCTCCCTCTGCCTGTGTCTCTGCCTCTCTCTCTCTCTGTGACTATCATAAATAAATAAAAATTAAAAAAAAAAGAAAAAGAAATTTAGAGCCAAGGGAAAAGCAGAATAACTTTTGTCAGAAGAATGATCCTTGAACAAGGAATCTGGAATAATTGAAAACAAATTCACTAAATTTTGTGGTTACCTAATAAATCTATGCTCCCTTTCTAACTCATAAGTTTTACCTTCAAGATTATTTTACTTTTTCTAGCTTTATTGAAGTATAAATGACAGATAAGTTATATGTATTTAAAGGATACAGTGTGATGTTTAGATATAAGACTAATTGTGAAATGATTATCAAAATCAAACTAATAAAATATTCACCATTTCACATGCTTACAATTTTTGTGCATGTGGTTAAAACACTTAAGATCACCTTTCTTAGCAAATTTTAAGTATACAAAAATGATACTAACAGTTTTACTAACTACAGTCATCATGTTGTGCATTAGAACCCCAGAATTCATTCATCCCACATAAGTGAAATCTTATATTGTCTGACCAACATTATTTTAAAGAATTGTGTTTGAAGGGAGAAAAACTGGGGAAATAAGTGTCCACAGTATTGTATCAATAGGACACTTTACCTACTTGCTGAGACACAAAGCAAGGAGCAATTTCTGTTCTGTTGAAGAACAGAAAATCAAGGACTCAGCAAGTAGCTATTTGGGTTCATTTACATCTTTCCTCAGTCCTCTTCCTTCTGGAAGGTCTACATTATGTTACTTTTAAAACTGCTATGAATTTTGTTTAGAAAATTCAATACTTTTAACATTATTTTTGTGACTTTACTACAGTTTTATTTGTAAAATAAGAAAATTTTGCTGTCAGCCATGATAGTACATTCTCCTGGCCCTAGAATATTATTCAACTGGTTTTATTTATTTAATTAATTTGTTTATTCATTTATTTATTTTAGAGGTTGGGGGGCAGAGAAAAAGGAAGAGAGACTTCCACATCTAAGGTGGAACCTGACATGGGACTCAATCCCACAACCCTGAGATCATGATATGAGCTGAAATCAAGAGTTGGATGCTTAACCAACTGAGCAACCTAGGCACCCCTAGTTTACTCATTTTTATAACTGATTTTACTTTAACATTGAACTTAGAAACAGCCAGTTGTACTCCAAGAATAAGATAAATTATCAAACTCTTTGAAAAACATTGAATCTATAATTAAGCAGTGGCAAAAAAAAAAAAAAAAGACAAAAAAAATAGAAAAAAAACAAACTTAGACACAGAAAAAATAAAATTAAAAATGGTAAGGAGACAGAGTTGGGGAGGAGAAAGACAAGGAAGTGGAGAGAGAGAGAGACTTCCATGTACCCCACGAGGAAAAGGGACCTGATAAAGAAACACTTAGGCAGGAAAATGTGGGGTGGTACTAGGCTATGCAAGTGCCAGAAAATCATTCAAAACCTGTGCAGTGAAAAGCTAAGACATTCTAAGACAGTAGAAGCCTGGATATTTATAAATGTAGATGATAAAGTGGATAATACATCAAACTTCATAAGATATACTAATTTTGAAGAGTTCTAATTATAAAGACATTAGCATGGCACAGATCATCATTTAAGAGTGCTTTAGAAAAAAAAGGATGAAATCTCAGCTTTCTCTGTTCCTCTTCCAGCTGTTTCCTGCCCTCATCAGACTAGTGTTTTCTTCTTGACCACCTAGAGATAGGCCTAGATTGATCTTCCCTGGGATTGTTTCAACTGAGCCCTTGCGTTGTCACTTTATACTTAGATGTGTGGCAAGGTGTCTGTCAGTGTCTAGCCATCTCTCTCCCTCTTTGTTTTATCCATTTTTTGTGTCTCTTTATTGGACAAGAGATACACTGGGTAACCATTACTTGGTGCATTCTTTCTCAGTTGCTGGCGTAACAAATTACCGCCAAGTAATTTTGGAGCATGGGAATGTATGGTGACAGGGTGGATCATTCCAGGAAGGCCCCATCCAGGTGGAAACTATGTCTCTGATCCATTGTACCAGAAAATAAATAAATAAATAAATAAATAAATAAATAAATAAATAAATAAATAGATAGATATCTCATTCCCCACTCTTAGGAGGAAAGTATCCATCAGAAAAACCAGACGTTGTTACACAGGAAGTACATGCAGGTCGCATAAGGCCAAGGAAAAGCTGTCCTGGCTGTGGTGCTTTCTTCAACATGATGGGATGAACATTAATGCCACATAATCACGGCATTTCTGACATAGGAGCAGTTCATTGGCTTTGGCTGTAACACCAAAATTATAGCACCCGTAAATCCAAATGCAGGAAACTATTCAACTGCAATTACGGAGAAGACTATTGAGTTACACATATGCAAAAAAGTAGATTCAACATAGGAACCATGATTCTGTAGTGTGCCACACCCGTGGCTAAGAGTATATAAACACCCCAGTCCAGAGATGAAATTCAAACACAGAATCTTCTGTCACTCAGCTGAACTCACATCTCCTGCCAACATGTCCCACAGCTGCTGCTCTGGAAACTTCTCCTCCCGCTCCTTTGGGGGATACCAGCACTACCCCAGCTCCTCGTGTGGCTCATCCTACCCCAGCAACCTGGTCTACCGCACTGACGTCTGCTCTTCCAACACCTGCCAGGTGGGCTCCTCCCTCCACACTGGCTGTCAGGAGACCTGCTGTGAACCTACCAGCTTCCAGACATCGTGTGTGGTGTCCAGCCCCTGCCAGACATCCTGCTACCTCCCGAGGACCTCCATGCTCTGCAGTCCGTGGTGGACCGCTTACCCTGGGTCTGTAGGCCTTGGGTCCAGAAGCTGCTACTCCCTGGACTATGGATCCAGAAGCTGCTGTTCACTGGGTTGTAGATCCCAGGGTTTCAGACCCCTGGGTTTTAGAGTCTGTGGCTTCCCTTCCCTGAGCTATGGATCCAGATTCTGCTGCCCAACCTACTTCACCTCTAGGAGCTGCCAGTCATCTTATTACAGGCCAGCCTGTGGCTCTGGCTTCTATAGATTAATTTGTTGAGGGTCTGGATGCTTTTGAGTATTGACCTCAAAGTCTCTACTCAGTATAGCCATTGTTTTCATTTCCACCAATTACTAAAGTTCTTTTATTCCTAAACCATCAGTTTCTTGCTGCACTGACTTTTGGCTGACTCTGAACTCAATGAGTAATATCAAATTAAGACCTAAATTCTGTACTATTGATAGAATGTATACTATTGGATTTTTATTGAAAAGCAATTGAAAATGAAAAATTTAATCTAATAAATTGTTGTAATCTGGCATTCAAATATATTGTTCATCTCATTATTATTATTATTATTTGCCTATAGTTTTTGTATTTTATGGATTTGGGAGATTTTGATAAAGATCAATATGACTCAGACTGGGTTTGGGCACATACAGTATGATAGATTTGAGCAAATTTCTGTTGACTTTGGATATGTTTCCTGTGGGGAGTATTCATTTTCCTGGAGGTCCATATTTTGCATGTCTCAATGTCAGTGACACTTGCCTGAGACTAAAGGTCATGTATTTTTGCTGATAAAGGGAAACAAGTAAATTGGTACATAAACTAGAAATGAGACAACAGGAATATGATATAATTTATAAGGTGAGGTTACACATCAATAAACACATACCTCAAAGTCTAGCCTCTGAGTGTGGATTTTCAGCAGAAAAAGGATGAGCCTTAACTCCCAGAACAAATGCTATGTATGCTTTTTGTTGATTAGTCTAAATGCCCTGATCCCGACCTGCCATAGGTGAAATGTTCCTAAGCCTTACCAAAAAACACATGCAAGGTTTGAAATGATCTTAGGTGGTGATAGCTGGGTTAAGGAAGTGTGTATAACCTCCTGATGCTTCTCCAAGTTTCAACCTTTCAAGCTAAGAGCAGCATATCTGAGCAGCATTAAACAAACATTTATGTTTATTGGTCTCAGCCTTGATCCTTGTCTCCCCAAAATAGAACTGAGGTCAAGAATTTGGGGCAGGTGGTTTACTCGGTACAAGATCCCAGGGAGTGGGTTTGGGAAATCATGGAAGGTTAGAGAATCAGAGAGGAAAATCTCATAAATGGCCATATTTCTGTAATTAATATTATAGTGGGCAATGGGGACTCAATCCTTCTGGGCCCTTTTAGGAACATATAGAATAACTCTCAGAATAATTTAACCCAGGATCTGACCAATAGATACTGCAGAAGCATGTATCTGTCATCTGTGGTCTCTCTCATTGGTTCAATGTTGTCCCAGATATATGTTAACTTCACTGTGCAAAGGAGGATTCACATAGGCTCCATTTGTTTTCCCAGCTGTGACCTCAGAGAAGCTCAGATAGAGAATGAAAGAAATGCTGTGTTTCGGGGGACAAACTGTCTATGCAAAGAGAGTTGAGGTCTGTGTGAAATTGTTCACCATAGCTGTGCCTGGGATCTGCCATGAGAGAATGAGGATATAAGGGAGGCCACAAGAGGTATCAGATATACCACTTTCATTTAATGCTCAAACATCCCTGTGAGAAAGATAAACATTATGTCTTATAGACCTTTCCAGACATAAGGGAATAAAAGCTCAAAAAGATTAGAAGCTTGCCAAAGTTTATAAATCAAAGATCTTGTAGAATTTGACCTCTTGAATCTATCTTTTATTATTATTTCTGGATTTTTTTTTTAATATGCAACTCTTTGCTTAACCAAAGAGTACTCAAGTACCTCTGGTACTACAGAAATTTCTTTATATGAATAGGCTTCAACTCCAACAGGATCTCATTTCATTAGCCTGATGAGTAGTATCCAGAATAAAGAGTAGGAATGAAACAAATTTAAAAGAGTGTGAAGGAAGGGTGAATTAATTTCATTTGAAAATATTTATATTAACTATAATACCTAATACAAGACTGAGAGAGAAATATTTGATTACCTTTCAGGACGAGATCACTGGAAATCCTGAGTGCTGTGACAAATCCTATATTTTCACTTTAATTATTATTATTAGTGTCACATCATGATATTCCCTTCCACAATACCTAACACTATGAACAAAAATAATTCTTTAAAAAAAGCCCTCTCACATCTCACTTGGTATATTCAAGTTCAATATCAGAACCACAAATTAGAGATGCTCAGCTTCTTATTAAATTTTTTTAAAAATAAAGTAGAGTATAAGGACGATTCTTATGTAACTTGACAGATTTTTAATTTCTCTTCAAACTCCCCAACAGCAACACTGTCACTCTAGAAGCTTTTCCCTGATTAAAAAAAAAAAAAAAAAAAGCTTTAAAGAAAAAAGTAAAATTGCCAAACTTATGACATCTTCCAGAAACTGTAACTGCACTCACATCTTGGTGATTCAGGTTGAAAGAGTGGAGGCAACCTGAATAAAATCAGGGAAATTCTGTAAGTAGAGAAAAGGAGTACTATTTGCACAGAAGTAGCATAAGTGTGTGTGTTGGGGGGTGGGGTGGGGGTTGGGGGCAGATTTAGAATCCAGCATTGCAGAATGAATAGTGGCCCAACCAAGAACAGAAGAAAATCCCTAGTGTGTGCTTTGTTATGTAAAATGACATATAACAGTCTAAAAACCAGCAACACAAAGGCACAAGGATAATAACACAATAGAGTTGATTGATGAGGTAAGAAAAAACATTGCTTGCCAAACTAACCTACTATGGGTATAAACACGACTGCTTTTAAAGTTTTAAAACTACTGCCTCCACTTTAATTAGCAGAATACAGCTTGTGTGGGTACAATTATGAGTTATTTGTTTATAATACTTACAACGGTATTTTTCTCCATAGAAATCTTACTTGTCTTTGCCATGATATTGTCCTTCATCAGATTTCTATTTTTTGCTATTACTGAGGCAACTAAGAATTTTATCTTCAATGTTAACTTCTTGAAATCACTTTACATCAACATTGTCAAATAGAACATTATGAACTTTCACTAGCCTTACTTGGTTTCTCCGTACTGTGTTGGGGAGAAGAACAATTCACTTCTACTCTTGAGTTTCTGTGGCTGGTCTAATAATCAAATGGATATAACATAGATGGAAAGGAATAAAACAAAAGTTGAATAACTTACATAACTTCTGTATATAAGAGAGAGTAACCCCTTGAAATGGCCAAAGCCGTCAACTTAAATGCCATCTTCAGCTAAAGACAAAGGTGGATGTTGGTAGTAGGGAGTCAGTTATGGAGATGGCCAGGAAAAGCTCAATAAACAAGGCTAAGGTTGTTATGCAGATTGAGGGCCTCACATTCTCCACTGACAAAAGAGTTTCTAGATTGCTGAGTCCTTGCCCTTTTCCTGACACAGGGTGGGAGACACTCTTACATTAGGTTTCCCTTGTGAATGTAATGTCTCTTATAAAAGGGTAATTTCTACTCAATTTTCAGATCTTTTGTGTCTGTATTTCTTAAAAATAACCAACTTAAAATAATTGACGGGACAGGAAGCAAATTTTGAGGTGGCATATTTTTCTCCCCTTCAAATGGATGAAGAAATCGAACGATTACTAGAATTAGTTCATTTTCAAGTGAAGCATTTGACAATATTCACATAAAACTGCCTTCATCTAATCCTTATTGAAGTTATCCTGCTGCTAATGGACTAGCACATCAACAGCTATTGTTTTTAGATGTGTGCTGGTTTTGCATGCACAGGAAAACTTAGGGTTTAGCATGAGTGAAAATCATTTAGAATAGTTATTTGACCTAAATGAAAATGTATGCATCCAAGTGACCTATTAATACATCTTTTGCAACTGCTAATGATAAATCATCATCTTTGGAAGCAACTGGTGATACAAATTTACCAGAAAGAGAACTTTAATACAAAAGGAAAATAAAGTCTTACCCAAGTCCAAATTAGGACAGCTGCCCAGGAAATAGGATCTTAAGGAGAAAGAAAGTGCTCTGGAGACTGAACAGTCTTTACAGGATAATGTACTTTTCTACAATTTGGAAAAGCTCAAAAAAATTATAGATGAGCCTATAGGCAGAAATCCCAAGTTTTAACATTATGGAATGAGGTAAGTAGAAGCATTGATTGATACCTCAAGGTCAAGATGGTTTTCCTCAGGCTACTCATAGACAAAGCAGCTGTACAATGCATGCATGGCGGGCCATAAATCAGGCTGCTGGTTTGAACAAAGTTTATGTGCAGTCATGCTGACTTAGAAAGAAGTCTAAAATGGCTTCTTTTGTGTATCGGGCCTTTAGAAAGTTTTTCTCTCTTCACAATCATCTTTAAAAACTGCTGCTTTTGGGGCACGTGCCTGGCTCAGTTGGAAGAACATGAGACTCTTGATTTCCAGGTCCTGAGTTTGAGCCCCATGTTGGGTGTAAAGATTACTTACTTACTTACATAAATGAATAAATACAAACACACAGATACACAAACACAAAACCACTTCTACTTTCTTTTGAAGTAGTTACTGGTATTTCTTCAGCAAAGTTTTCTCTAACTTTTCATGCAGTCAGTGACACTGTGGACTCCCATGGTGAGTAGTAAATGGCATCAAATTGTTGTACAAATTAAGTATTCACCATCAACTTTCATTAGGAATGGAAATTCGATATTCACTTTTTTGATTGAAGATGAACTTCCAATTTTAGCTCATTGCTCCTAAAAATAATTTTGTGAAGTTTAGAGAAGAAAGATGTTCCCAAACAAAACAAATAATTGCATATTTAAGCAATATAATATGTGGTCAGGTCACCCCAGCAAAAGCATGTAAATTATTCTTTATATGCTGCGTGGCAGCCTCAATTTCATGCTCATATTTCACATACAACCCATTGGTAATTCTCAAATTTCTCAGCATCTCCACCTACTGGTAGCTTGACGTATGTTATTTTGCCTGTTGTAGCCTATGGAAAGAGCGATAGCAGTACTGGGTAGGATAAAAAAAACAAATGACCAGCCACCAAGATTTGAATGTGTGAGTGGTCCTACAGCTTGCATCTGAGGGTAAATGTCTTTCAGGGATCCCTCTGCACACTGTCTTTGAAAGAAAAGCAATAGTTGCATTTTATTAGAAAAGGATGAGCAAAGGAAGAATAGGAGATGACTTGTCTTCTTTTATATTTAACATTGGTTAAAGTAAAAACTCTGCTCACTATGCACGCTTCTTATACTTCATGAGCTAAAAGCATGACCAAAACAAAGTGGAGGTCTCCCAAACCAATCTCATGTTAATTCAATTATCACTCATCATATATAAAAAGTAAGGAAACTAAGACTGTTACCAAATGAGGCTGGATGCTGAGACACCCAGAATAAACCAAGACATATGGTTACCCTGTAAGTAAGAATCTAGTTATCTGTGTCTCTAGTAATGTTGTCCTTGACTTAATAGATAAAAGTTTGGGGCAGAATTGGTGATTCAAGGGTTATCAGCTGCCTGGATGTTTAACTGAGTGCTGTAACAATAGACTATTTGCATTGGTTTTGAGTTTTGTTTTGTTTTTGTTTTCAAAAAAGTGTTATTAACTGAACAACCCAAAAGCAGGAGCAAGTTGGGACTTCATCAACCCTACAGGACTGACTATATTGGGCCTACTTACTAATAAATGTTGCAATGCGTTAGATATTTCATTTAGATACTTGATTTCTTTTTTTTCATTATTATTATTATTATTATTATTATTATTATTATTTAGTTTTTATTTTAATTCCAGTGTAGTTTACATACAGTGTCATATTAGTTTTAGGTGTACCATACAGTGATTCCACACTTGAGACTTGATTTCTTATGTCATTTGAGTGACTAGAACGCTTACCAAATCTAAGTCAATAATATCTAACTTCCTACTGGAAAGCTTCACTCCTCTTTCACATGTATTTTAGGATATATTTTGTTAGAATAAACTTCTTTATAAAATTATGCAGTGTACTGGGACACCTGGGTGGCTCAGCAGTTGAGCATCTGCCTTCAGCCCAGGACATGATATTGGAGTCCCAGGATCAAGTCCCACATGGGGCTCCCTGCATGGAGCCTGCTTCTACCTCTGCCTATATGTCTCTGCCTCTCTCTCTGTGTGTCTCTCATGAATAAAAAAATAAATAAAATTATGAAGCATATTTAATACTCTTTATTATTTATAATTACTTTATATAAAAATATTGAAATTTCTAACTCCCTACAGAACAAAAGCCATAATTGTTTGTAGTCTTAAAAATATGTTTCTAGGTTTCATCATATGAAGGTATGGAATGGACATTAAAGATGAAATAATTTCTTTCAAACCAAAAAGACAATTGATGATTTTATTTTTTAAAAGTAAAAGAATATATATATATATTCTTATATGTAAATATATGTATGTATATACATATATTTACATACATACATATATATTTATTTATTTTTGAAACAGAGAGAGAGAGCACAAGTCAGAAGGAGCAGAGGAGAAACAGACTCTGTACTAAGCACAGAGCTGGACATGGGGCTCAATCTCACAACCCTGAGATCGTGACCTGAACTGAAATCAAGAGCTGGACATTCAACCGACTGAGCCACCCAGGCACCCCTAAAGTGAAAATTTCTTGAATGGTAAATTCAAATACAGAAATATCCAGTCAGATATTTAGAAGTAGTTTTGAAGACACAGAGTAAACAAATAATATGAAAACATATATGTGAATGTCATGTAACATATTTTTATTTAAACTTACATTTTTTTTCCATTTTGTAAATTTTGAAACAAATGCATCAATAGAAATGACTAGGAGATATTAAGAAAGAAATATGTTTCTTAATATATAACTACAAGAAAGCTGTTTGAACATCTTTCCTCAATGAATGTATTTTCCAATTACTGGAATTCAAATTCTTTCAAAACCACAGTAGGTAGCAATACAAGTCAAATTTATAAGCTAATGATAAAGACAGAGATCAATGGATAGCATGGATCCTGACATAGTAAATATTGCAATAAATTTCTAGACAGAGTAGGTATTATGTTTGAACATAAGATTAGAAGAAGCCAGATCCACAGGTTGGCTGGTAAGCAGTAGACTGGCAGCTTCTAGAAGAGAGGTAAGTTGGACGGTAAAAGCTGGATCTACAACCCAGGGATGAAAAAGCACTGGGACCACAGCCCACTGATGGGAAACCACTCCATCCAAAGCCCAGAGAGGGAGATCCACAACCAAAAGATTGAAAGCCACTGGAGCCAAAGCCCAGAGACCCAGTGTAAGTCGTCTGGCAGGGACCATAGAGCATGGAGGTCCTCGAGGGGTAGCAGGATGTCTGGCAGGGGCTGGACACCAGGTAGGACGTCCGGCAGCTGGTAGGTTCACAGCCGATCTCCTGACAGTCACTGTTGAGAGAGGATCCCAACTGGAAGGTTCTGGGAGAGCGGAAGTTAGTGCCGCAGAACAGGTTGCTGGGGTAGGAAGAGCCACAGAAAGATCCTGGGTAGTTCAGGAACCCCCCAAGGGACTGGGAGGAGAAGTTTCCTGAGCAGCAGCCGTGGGACATTGTGACAGGAGATGTGGTGTACAATGGGAAGGTTCTGAGTTTGAATGCCACCTCTTGGACTGTCGCATTTATATACCCCTATCTTTGGGTGTGCCATCCACATGACACATAAAAACAGGTTACCTTCTGCTTTTAATTGAACTGAAAAGATCATCATAATCAAACATATGTGGTTTTTGTGGTTTTACAACTGGAAAGTGCAGTAATGTTTGTGCCTTGGAATTCAGGTAATGGTGTCGAATCTTCAAAGCTATTAGTCATCTCTCTCTACCAAAGGTCACCCAGCAGATCACTCAGAGAACTGCTTCAGAGGTAGACAGTGACTGGGATGAGGAAAGCTTGCTTAATTAAAAATAATTGATACCCCTTTCACAATCTGTCTCAAAATTGTTGCCATCTGGATAGCAAAGTTGCTAACTAACTGATATATTCATAGTCATTTCTTTTAAACAAAAACACACATTGATTGTTGCCAAGCAAGTTTACATAATGAATAGGGTCATCAGGAAGCAGCAGTGGTAATATGCAAGATGTATGAGGATTTTTTTAAAAAATCAGATATCAGTTTGAATGGCTTCAGTGAAGATTCCCTTATTTCCCATGTTGCTGCTTAAGTTGTATGCGACTGGTAAGAGTCAGTCTTCGTTCTTACTCCTTGTGTGTGTGCGTGCGTGTGTGTGCGCGTGCGCATTTCCTTGGCATAAGTAAAATATTAAAATTGCTTTATATCATTTTGGAATGTTAGAGGTGATTCATCTAAGAAGCTGAAAAAGCATTAAAAATGACAAAAAAAAATGGCAAAAAAAATGCCCCATGTATTTCCATCTCTAATCAGAGGCACTGTTTCACCCTATTAAACTTCTCCAGAAATTGGGAAATGTTCTCGTTCTAAAGAAAGTTTAGAAGGTAATTGCCTTGAAGTATTGGACCAAAGGAGCCATCTTAAGGAGATTCTTCCCAGCCTCAGAAAACAACATACATCACTTTGACTTAAATTGTTTTCAGGTGTTCCTGACAAGTATTACAAAATTTCTAAAATAATGGTCATATTTTTTCTTGTTCTATGACTTGTGTTCCACCTCTATGTAGTAGGGTAATGAAGATTGATACCTTGAGGAAGAGGAGAGATTGAGAAGGTTTATCTTGCGGTGACTCCTGTGCTGTTTGATTTGTCATTTCACACTAAAGCATTTCCCTTCCACTTCTTTTTTTCTTTTTTTAAAGATTTCTATTTGTTTATTCATGAGAGACACACACACACACAGAGGCAGAGACACAGGCAGAGGGAGAAGCAGGCTCCATGCAAGGAGCCCGACGTGGGACTCGATCCTGGGTCTCCAGGATCACGCCCTGGGCTGAAGGCGGCTCTACACCGCTGAGTCACCCAGGCTGCCCTCCCTTCAACTTCTGAACAAAAATGTTGGAGTGCAAAAACCTCCATTTTGTTGAGAAAAGACATTTCCAAAATTACTGAATATCTGACTCATAGAATATTTTCCCACAGAAAGAGCTGATCTAAGAGTGGATGACATTGAAGCAAGCAAGCAAGCAAATTCAGTTTAGGGGAGTTGAATACTTATATGGGTGTTTTGATGTTCGATATTTTACTCACAAATAAAATGGAAAGGTTTGGAATCTGATAGAATGCTTTTTTTCATGATTCGTAATTAAAAAGCCTGATAAATAGGAATTGTTTATTTTTTAGAAATAGAGGACAAACTACATTAAGTGACAAATGAAACATGCTTGAAAACCAATCTGCCTACTCAAAATGTTCAGACCCATAACATTTACAATTGGGGAGTTTAGCAATTATCTTCAGTCCTCCACCAGACTGGAATCTCACTTACAATATTCGGACAAGGGATATTGTAATTCCCAGTGCCCTCAAGATGGAAATCTCATTACCTACAATAGTGGCTCATTTTATTTTTTATTTTATTTTATTTTATTTTATTTTATTTTATTTTATTTTATTTTATTTATTTTATTATTTTATTTTATTTTATTTTATTTATTTTATTTTATTTTATAGATCTTTATTTATTTATTCATGAGAGACAGAGAGAGAGAGAGAGAGAGAGAGGCAGAGACACAGGCAGAGGGAGAAACAGGCTCCATGCAGGGAGCCCGATGTGGGACTCGATCTGGGGACTCCAGGATCGCACCCTGGGCCAAAGGCAGGCGCTAAACCGCTGAGCCACTCAGGGATCCCCAGTGGCTCATTTTAGATTTTTACCTCAATCTTCCCTTAAAACTTCCACCTAGTAATCTCAATTCTTTCTACAATAAGTTTTAGCTCATTTCCATTGGACAACGTGTCAATTTTCGGAGATGGGTGTCTTATGAGGTTTGCCCATTCCCACAGGTTATTTTAAACCATATCCTGCACCCCTGCACTACTCTACTTGTGGTTGTCAATGATGCATGTGATGGGAGATCTAGAAAAATACTTATGATGCTAGTCCTCCAGGCAGAATATATGTCACTTGATACATGTGTCGCATCAGGGGTCCCAAAGGCATTCATTCTTTATTTCACATTATCATCTGTTCTGATTCCCCCCTCACCCCATTTCAACTTACAATGATCATTTATAACTATGAATGCTTCCAACACCTGATCTTTCTTTGAAGTCTACATGGGGCAGACACTTCTCTAATTTCTTGCTTTTCTTTACCTTCTGTTATAAAATCTCTGCCCTATAAAAAGAAAAGAAGAGAACAAAGGCCCATATTTTATGTGCAGTGCTTATTCTTTTGTTCTCAATAACATCAAACCCAACAAAATTTACTTAAACTTTAGGGATCAATGACTTATATCAGAAAGCAAGTCGACTTTAGGGCAAGGATTCTTTGACTTCAGTATTTTTACAATATAATCTTCAAAGTACTCCTGCAAATATTGAACCCTTCATTCTTTTTCTTTTTAAAAAATATTTTATTTATTTGAGAGAGCGAGAGCATGAGTGGGGAGGGGGCGGTGAGGGCAAAGGAGAGGGAGAAGCAGACTCTTCACAGGGAGCCTGACATGGGGCTGGATCCCAGGACCTCCAGATCACAACCTGAGCTGAAGGCAGATGCTTTAACTGACTGAGCCACCCAGACACTCCTGGACCTTTCATTCTTAAATCAAAAACTTATACACACAAAGCATATTGGAGACTTGTACTGTAAGGAAAACAAAATCCAAATGTGTAGGATACTCATTTAGCTTTCTCCATTAAGGTTTCTTAGTGGGTTATCTTTTCTTCATCTCCATAAAATTTGGGAGACGAAACAGATATTGAGGATTTGGGTCTTTTTTTTTTTTTCCTGTTCTCAACTGGTTCCTAAACATGGAACAAAATAAATATGCCATCCAGATGACAAAGTATTTTTTTAGAACTTTAGACAGAACAAAATTCTCACTGTGTTGCCCATTCGATACAATATCTTGAGGGAGAGGGTAAATAAAACACCAATCTTACAGGGACAATTGCCATACAATTATATTCATCTACCCAAGCCAGATGAATGAGAGATGACATCTTCATGAACAATTGCTTTGAAAAACTAATGAAATTCTTTCATTTAAAAGTCTGCGTTCATTAAAACAAGGCCTTTGAAGGTTAATGTATTTCATTTTGACTAGAGCCTAATTAAGCATTCATTAAAATGGGCATATGCTACTAACCTATTGCTAGGGTATATAAGCATCCAGTAGAAGGTAACAGTTGCCCTTACCAAACCTCTCTGCAACTCAGCTAAAGTCAGAACTCCCAACATGCATTACAAATGCAGCCCTGGAAACTTCTCCTCCCACTCCCGCTCCCCTGCAGGTTACCTGGGGTACCCAGTTTCCACCTATGATTCTTTCTACCCCAGCAATGTAGCCTACTCTCCCAGCACCTGCCAGCTGGGCTCCTCCATCTTCGGTGGCTATCAGGAGATCTCCTGTGAACCTATCAGTTGCCAGACATTTTACCCTGTGTCCAGACCTTGCCAGACATCATGCTTCCATCCAAAGAGTTCCATCTTCTTCAGTCCTTGCCAAACAAATTACACTGGATCTCTGGGATGTGGAAATATTGGCCTTGGGTCTTTTGGTTTCCAGTCTATGGGCTGTGGGTCCAGCTCCTGTCATCCAACTTACTTCTCTTCCAGGAGTTGCCAGTCAGCTTGTTACCAACCAGCCTTTAGCTCTCGCTTTTTTGGATCAACTTGCTGAATATCCCTCATTATCTCACCATTGTGTCTGTACCTTATGAAACTTTAACATGTAGCCTGTCTGATATCTGGGATTATTGACCATCTGCATCACCAGGACTTGCCATCACCATCTCTCCCAAAAGTATGTGATTCACTGTCACAAAGTAACCTTGACCTGTGGCCTTTTCTAAATCAGATATATGAGATAAATCTTGACTTTTCATTCTTATGTCAATGTTCAGAATACTTTTTGGTATTCTGAAAGATTTTCCTCTTATTTTTCTCCTAGAATTCTTTCACTTAAGTGTATTTCAAATAGAATTGGCACTTAAACTTTTCTATACTATGAATAATAGCATTCCATTTCTCTTGTTCATATTGTACATTTGTTGAATGTATCCAGTACCTTCAACTGTCTTCATTAGGTAATCACTTTTTTGTTTTGTTTGTTTTATAGGTTTTATTAATATGTTACTGAATAGAAAACAAGAAATTGAAAGGATAGTTTAAATATGTGACATGTCCTACATGTTAAGGATTTATGTACCCTGATAAATGAATTTGTTCATCTAATTGCTTTAGAAAGTTTTGTTATTTGTTTTTAGTTAGGCATTAACTGCAAAAGAAAATTTATTGAGTTTTGATTCTAGACCAGGCATTGTGCTAAAGAAAAGGATAAATTCCCTGCCTTCATGAAGTTTACACACATACAATTCTAACTCACCTTCATGTAGCAAGTGTAATAATGGGGACAAAAAAAATTGAGTTTCAATAGGAATACAAAGAACAGGGACTTCAAAAAAGTGTGAGGAAATCACATAATACTCATTATCAACAATGCAAAGGTCACCATTTCATATTAAAAAAAAAAAATCTTGCTGACCAAATGTGTTAGTTGTAGTCCTTTGAGAAATAGCTGCCAAACAGGGTTTGATCTAATAGAAATTTGTTGGAAGAAGTGCCTGTCAGGGAAAATGGAGAAGTAGTTGGAGGATTCTGGGAGAGTCATCAGACCACCACGCAGATCTGAATTCAGTGAAGGAAAGAAAGCAGCAAAGAAGAAAGGTTGAGTTGGAATAATGTTCTTCAGGACAGTTCCAAGAAAGCGTTGGTAAGTTACCTATTAAAGGAGTTCTGTGTCTCACAGAGATGGCCATGAATGTGGTGGTAGATTCAGAGACTGGCAGCTGGAGATGTCAATCAATTATGTTCCCCACAGAGGGAGGTATGAGAGCTATGTCTTCATCGCTTCCATGATGTTTATTCTGATTTTTAATGAAGTCAAAATAGTGGTGAAAGGGTGAAATGATAAATGAAAAGATGGAATTTTTCATGAAAGAAGTTCAATATCTTTTTTTAACTTACTTTGATCAAAAAATTAATTACTGTAGCAAACCCTATGTAGAACCCAGTGTGTGAAACTCTAATTCTACAACTGAATATGAGGAGGGATTGAGAATTATTGGTCATCTTTGATTTTAAGTATAACTAATGTATTAAATACTCTGGACTCAGTAGGGCATAATTAGGAAATTGCTTCCTCTTTCTCCTGCTATTGAATTTCACACTTGACCTGAGGGCTCTGACTTGCCTGGATCTCTGAACAATTCCATGGCAGATCTATGATCACATTAAGATATTCAGAAATATCTTTATTTCACACTAGTAGTTAAATCCAATCCAGTATAAATTAAAAACCAGCCTTACAGCTATAGCAAGGCTTCTTCCTTTTCCTTAATTTAGGCCTGTCAGGTGATTCTACAGGCCACTGATGGTGGCATAATCATTTTATTTAACTTCCTTACTCTATCTTTTCTTCCATCAATGTACTGCTTCTGACTTCTTCTGTTTAAACTAGAGAGAAAGGACAGGAGGAAAGAAAATGACAACTCAGGTCGTTTGTCTCAGCATGCTTTAGACCACCTATGTCAACCTAAGTTCTTTGTTGCAGGAAACTTTTCCTGGGAAAAGATGAGATTAAACCAATGAATCATTTCACTGTAGGCTTCAGGAAACTCCTATGGACTAGCTTATTGGACAATATGGTCTGTACACCTGGAAAAACAGAGCCCAAAGTAACCACTTACTTATTGAGAGACTTGTATCAGTACATTCTCTTTGCTATGCTCACCAGTCCTCAAGAATCATGTAATAGGTTTTTGCAGTCCCAATCAATTTCCTGCCTTGACACCATTTGAACCCATAATCTCACTTCTAACACCCATCTTTGGAATCACAGCTAAAATTCTACAAGTGTCCCTCCTCACTGCAGGAAGTTTGAGTAAACTTCATTTTGCTTAAGCTTAGGTAACATTATTTGGTGATACTCTAAGGTATACAAAGGGACGTAAAAGTCTACTTAACCAGTGCTACCTGTTATTCTGTCTTCGCTGTTGAATATCCTGTTTTCATAGGTGTCTGAATACGGCTCTTTCCCTAGTGGAGACTGTGGTGTGTATTCCATAACCCACCTTCTTATCACCCTAACCAACTCCCTGGAACTTTCTGTGCGGAATCATCCACCGACAGCACATTCTTTCACAATGTCTTTTAGCTCCTCAACCTCAGTTCTTGTCAACACCAAGGCTATACACCGTCCAGCTTTCTTCTGCTAGCATCCATTTGCTTGGTCCAGAGGAAACACACACACTAGCTGCCTATCAGTGGAAACAGAGTTTGTTCCTGGAGCAGGTTTCTCTTCACTCAGCTAACGCTAATGACTCACAGTAGCTTTTTAAGAGAGAAACAGAGAATACTAGTCACCATAACTCACAGCCTCCAAGAATTAGAATTTTCTGCCTTGTCCCCTCAGTAGTGCTATAAAACAAAACCTCACAGATATCTCATCCCTTTCAGTAACAGCGCATTTAGTGAATGAGTCCTATACTTTCAACTGTCTTCACTAGGCCAACATTTTTTGTTTTCTTTGTTTCGTATATTTTATTAATATTTTTTTGCTGGACAGAAAGGAGAAAGGTTAAATAAGAGTTGAAATATATGATGTAGCTCATGTTTTGAGACATTTATATTCTCTCATAAGTGCATTTATTCATCTAATTGCTTCAAAAAAATGTTTCAGCTAGACATTTCTTGAACAAACATTTGTTGAGCTCCTATTGTGTAAAATCTTCCTATTGTAGACGATAAGATTACTGTTGCCACTTCTTGCAATCCACCACACTGTCCATACATGGCCCTTATGACCTCTTCCCTCACAAGAAAGAAGCACTGTGTATGTGTAAAGGAGGGGTGAGGGGTTGATACCATTCTACCAGAATGAACTGCTTGAAAGGAAATCTTTCTACCTTATGAATGTCTAAAGCTTCTCTTGATGGTTAAAACTTTCTCAAAAACTATAAAACTGTATGGCCACATTGTAAGGATGTGACTAGAGAAAAAGAGAGACAGAGAGAGACACATACAGAGAGAGACTTAAGGAATTGGCTCACAGGACTGGGAGCACTGGCAAGTCCAAAAGTCCAAATTCCTAGGGTAGGCAAGGGGGCTGAAAACTCAGGCAGGGTTTCTATTTACAATCTTGGGGCAGAATTTCTTCTTTTAGGGGAAACCTTTGTTTTTGCTCTTAAGGCTTTACCTGATTAGATGAGGCCCACTCACATAATCTAGAACAATCTCTTTAGAGTCAACTGATTGTGAATAATAATTAAATCTACAAAATGTCTTCACAAAGACAGCAAAACTAGTATTTGACCAAACAACTGGGCACCATAGCCAAGTTCAGCTGACAAATAAAAATTATCTACTTCAGTCTCTGTTCTCTTGAAAATTTGGGCTGGAGGTATCTATGTCATAAATATACAGTATAAATTAATGCATAAAACTTCAAGGAAGAATTAATTAAAATTTTATTTGTAAATAGCCTTCCTCTCAGTTTATAAAATTATTTTCATACCTTTTTAAGATCATTTTTCAGATTCTTAAGTCTAATTTGTAAGAGAGATTTTTAGGAGTTTCACAATTGTTCACTGGGATATTGAAACCTCTTACTATATGTCTATATGTATTCATAAGAATAATTTCTTTTCTGCTGGTGATCTCTCCAGTGCAGTCCTCCTAGGAATGCAACTCTGGCCTAGCTGTGCACATGAGACATATTACAGCAGAAGGCAACGTTCAGAGAATTTATTTCCATGATAATTTTCTTTTAAAGATTAACTTATTTATTTGAGACAGAAAGAGAGAGAGCAAGAGAGCACATGAGTGGGGGGAGGGGCAGGCAGAGAGGGAGAGACTCTCAAGCAGACTACACACTGAGCAGGGAGCCAATGAGGGGCTCCATCTCATGACCCTGACATCATGACCTTAGCCAAAATCGAGAGTCACCCACTTAACCAACTGAGCCACGAGGTGCCTCTCTCAAGATATTTTAATCTATTTGCCCATCTTATGTTATTTCTGGTCATCATATTTCTCATGTTTGCTTCATTCATTGGCTTTTGTCATGCTCCACCCTATTTTTATCATGCCTGTCTTTTACCATTCTCTACCTTTCTACTGTGTTTCCTGCATTTCTGCATCATAGTTTTCATATCTCTTGGCACTACTAGCATTTGTGTTGGGTACTTTTTTGTCAGGATAGGGCTGCCTTGTGCATTGTAAAAGTGTTTAGCAGCATCTTTAGTCTCTTCCACTAGATGTCAGCAGCACTGCCACCCTCCTCCGCCAGCATCACCCCCCCCCCCCCAGCCAACACACACTGTATGCCCCTTGTGAAAACCACATATGTCTCCAGACGTTACCAACTGTCCTCTAGAGGCAAAATTATTCTTTGTTTGGAACCATTGACTTAGATGGGTATCTGGGGGAATGAACTGCTTGGGATAGTTCTTAACTGTGAACACTGGACCTATTTCTCTTTTGGGATAGAGATAGGGCAGTGAAAATAAAATATTATATTACTCCATGCATGAATACGTTGTTATAAGTGATGACTACTGGATAAATGCATGGATATTTCATAAATCTAAGATAATGTTGATCTACTTACTTGGTAAATATTATTCCACTATTGCACATGAATGTGATAATTGTATGATGTTCATAATTGTAATGACCTGTTCACTTGCAATTACAGGGGAAAAGTGGCATTTTTTTGGTGACCAGCTTCTCAGTTCCAAAACATCTAAGTTGTCTGCTAGGATCACATCTACTTTTTGATCATCCTGGACCAAGGAGAAATAGCAAGATTATCTTCTCACGGTATTTTAGATAATTAAGACAAACAGACCAATTTCTGGTTTATGGGCTCTGCTTTAATATCTTTGGGTATTCTGAGGACTTTTTTCAATTTGTCTGACTCATTCTGTGTAGCTCTACAAAAAAAAAAAAAAAAGACTTCAACTCTTTTAGTATCTACCAGCAGTGATAGAGCTGATCATAAACTACATTTCTTCATTTTGAAGCTTTGAAGCTGATATCACAGGTTTTTTCTTCTCTAAGTATCTCAACACCTCTTTTCAATTCATCACATGAGCACTTTACTATGAACTTTTTCAGCTGTGTCTACCAAATATTTCATGCTAACAAGCATCTACTCAAAGGGATTCATATTTCAAATACAAGAA